ATAAACACCCAATAATCCGGAGGGTTATATAAACATAGTCCTCTCATCAAAACAAAAATAATAATCATGAAAACAAAAGATTTGATACAAGAAAAAATTGTTTTCATAACCAAAAGATTTCAAAGCATAATTTTCAAAACCAAGACAAAGAAAAATAAAAATACTAAAATTCTTAGTTTAAAATCAAATTTGTTTTGGTACCCAAGAATTCTTGGTACCAAGAGATTTAGGGACATGACCCCTATCATTAAATCTCAAAGCCCTAGGGTTATGAACCCTCTTAGGCGCATGTAGTACACTAACACGGTCAAAGCAATAATCGCTCAAATGACCCTTCCGATTGCAATACGTACAATGAAAGAGATATATTTATTTTTGTGGACCATTAGCTCGTGCACGGGAAACATTTGCAACCATAGATGATCTTTTAAGATTATTTTGCAAATGTGAACATTATCAAAACAAAACTTTCCTAAGTGGCCATATCTACCACAAACAGTCTTTTTCAAATCATAGCAAAATTTTGCCAAATGGCCAAAACGACCACAAAGATTACATTTAAACACATTAGCATGTTTATGATGTGCATGATAAGCATATGCATGTGTATGTGATGAAGAAGCTATATGAGATGCACAAGGAGCATTAGAATTCTTATGTTTGTGTGCATTATAACAAAACTTAGCTAAATGACCTTGACGGCCGCAAATAGAACACTTATAAGTTTTGCTATACATGTGTGCGTAATGAATGGATGATTTTGACTTAGTCTTGGCACACATGTCCATAAGCTTCTTATGATTATCAAGGCATATTTTTAAAGTTGAATCTAAAGATGAAATGTATTTTTTCATAAGATTCAAGTCTTCATTTTTTGGCACATATGCACTTTTAGAAGTAGAACATAAATAGTCATTTATAAAAAAAGCGGTATCATTTTGTATGTTCTCTACTTCTAACATGGTATTATTTTTGTCATGAGTCAAGTTAGCAATATCCAATTTTAAATTTTTATTTTCCAAATTTAACATATCATTGTTTTCTTGAAAAGTAATACTTTCTTGAGAAATGATATCAAATTTGGAAGCTAACTTCTCATGATCAAATTTTAAATCTTCATGCTTGCTTTTTAAATCAATAAAATCATTTTGCAATTTGTTAAAGGCATGCAATAATTTTTTACTAGCACAAGCAAGTTCATCATTAGGTAAATCATTAATAGATTCGAACTCGCAAACCTCACTAGGGCTATCGCCTAGTGGCCGTGTGCATGATGCTCCGTATGAACTTAAAGTCGAATCCTCCAAAGCTTGTTGGATCGCCTCCAAGTCCCCTTGATGTGCTTCTATAAATTTTTAAAGTTTGTAAGCATTATCAAAATGAACAAATTTGTTAGACATAGATGAATTAAAAGCATTTAGCAAATATTCTAACAAAATATTGTTCATTGTAAACATACGATGATCATTCTTATTCCACTTGGATTTCTCCAAAGTGTGCACAATATAAACATCATCTATAATTTCTCATAAATCAAAGTGTTTAGATTGAACAAAAAGTTTAAATCTAATACACCATTGGGCATAGGGGAAATTATCTAATATAGGAGCAATATTGATGGCATAACCTAAACAATGCATATCCATAATATATATCCATAATTTGTAAAAATATGCAAGCAAGATACAAATGTAATCAAAATTAGATTAGCACAAAAATATAACTTGGATCTTTAACTCAAGGCGATTAGACCTTAAATCAAAGAGCACCAAGCTCTGATACCAATTGTTAAACCCTAGAGGGGGGGTGATTAGGGTCTTATGCTAATCTAATCTGATTAAATACCAATTAAAAACTTATTAACAAGTTATCCTAGCAAGTATGAAATACCATAAGATATATGAGCTAGGATAAGCAATGTAAACAATGAGATATATCATATATGATGAAATATATATATGCAAGGATATATAAACTAACACAAGATGATATATCCTATCAAAGAGATATACAATATGATATATGTATATGCAAGGATATAAAACTAACACAAGGGGAAAACAATATGAACTAAATAGTGGATCATATAAATAATGAGCTATGGACAATGGCGATATAAGATATGAACATAACTATAAATGAACGCCAAAGCACACTCAAACACACTATATGATCACGGAGTTCGGACCTTCCGTCCTACGTCTCCGCTCTCCACTCCCGGAGAGAAATCCACTAACACAACCGGGTTTTCTATGTTCACCCGAATAACGTTTACACCTCACACTCGGTTTTCTAGCTAACCGAAAACTTTACAATAACACACTATTGTAATCCCACTCTACACCCACTAAGTGTTGAACTAGACGTGTCTCCCTCAAGTGCTCGGTTACAACCTCTCCCTAGGTTCGTCAACCGACGCCACTCCTCTTGGGACGATCTCCGACTCTCGCCACACACTTCTCTCAGTGTACAAGTGTATTACAAAGTGTATTTCACAATTAGGCTCAATTATAATAATTGATTGTTCTCAACTATGGATGAGAACACAATGAAAGCTCACGCTAAATGTTACAACTCTCACCAACCCAACTATATTATGAATGCAAATATAATAAGCTCAAGTGGGTGTGTGTAACAATGAGATAAAATCAAATCTAAACTCAATATAAAACTAGCTTTAATAGAAATGATAATCAACAAATAATTATAAATAAAAGCTAGAGTAGAGTTTAGAAAACTTCTCAATAGTAGACAAGATGGAGAGATGGAGATTGAAACCCAAACAAGAAGATAATCTCCCCCACTTGTGAAAACCAAAACAGTTTTAAACCAAACCCTTAAACAAGCTTAAACTCTTGTTAAAATCTTTTAAACCATTCTCTTAGCTTCTTAGTTAGAACTTAGGTAAGGGGGGTATTTATAGAAACCCCAAAGCCAAGAGAAAGCCAAGAAAAAAGACCAAAAAATCATTCTGCAACGGCTCTGAAAATAGCCGTTGGAATGTAATCATTTGTTCGGCGGTCGACTGCGTCGGTCGACCGCGAGCAAAAAAAACGAAGAAACAGCACTTGACAAGCGTCGGTCGACCGCACCGGTCGACCGATGGAAATATTGAGCTCTCGGTCGACCGGTGCGGTCGACCGACAAACTCTCTGCTGCCCAGAAACAAATGAACAATTTGAGCGGTCGACCGGTGCGGTCGACGGAAAACTGATATTACAGAAAAACAGGTTTTAGAGCTGATTTTTGAGACTTTGGAAAATTGTTAAAACTAACAAATGAAGTCCAAAAATAATGAAACTTTGGGAAAAGTATATAAACATGTAAATGAGCGAGTTACAAAAAGAATCTTCCAAATTGCATTTTCCATTTGTAAAAAATTATCATTTAGCAAAATAGTTCAAAACACGAAAATGTAAACATGTGAATTTTGATATTTTGGTTAAACCATGTTTTGAAACTTTGCACAATGATTATATAGACTTAATAAAATATGTATATGATTATTGTTAAGTTCAAAAACTAAGAATACAGAATTTTCACAAAATTGTATATTCTATACAATGATTTCAAAAACACAATAGTAAATATGAAATATATGATTTCATATTTATAAACATGAAAACCCAAAAACTATGTATGTATATACCTAACTATATATATGCATAGAAACCAAAACTTATGTATATATATATATATATATATATATATATATAACTGTATATATACGAAGACACCAATAAATGTGTGTGTATAGATATTGAGCTTAACGTATTTAACACACATAATATAAACCTATACTAAAGTTACCCAAGCTAGATCTTGATCTTCAATAAGCTCGACTTGGTACACTTTGCGGATGAAGCTGAACTTGAATCTTGAACTAGAATTGCATAAGCTTCACCGACATTCCGCCAACCTCCTTTGGATATGATCGTTGAAGCTCTATTCCATCCATCCTCCAGCTACGTTGTTTGTCTATAATAAATAAGAAAACACAAATACTAAACAAACAACATTAGTGGTAAATTGTTTGTTAAACATCATCAAAAAAAGAAGGCCAACAAATATTAGATGTAAATTGTTTGCTAAATCACCATCAAAACAAGAAGGCCAACACTTGTCAGCCTACACACCTGATCGATCCTATAAACACTCGCACTCGACCTATTGTTCTATACCGACAAGTTGCGTAGTAGACTAGAAAGGCGGTGTTTGTCGGCCTTCAACAGAACGACTAGAGAGGCGCTGTGTCCTCAAACCCTCCACCGACAACCAACTACCCTCGCATTAACTACTCTGACAAAGTCATCATTGCTATAGCTTGTATAGTCTTTATGACTTATCGAATCCAGTCAGCTCCAAGAACCGTCTTCCCCACAATGACTGGATAACTTATCTTCACCAACGGCCAACACCTGTCAATTGTCTGCCGAGTCAGTTGCTTGCCTGGACTCGGCTCAAGTTGCCTATCTATCCTTCTGATCCACTATAAAAAAAAGTCATGCAGCTCAAGGTAACTTTCTGGATTTTCACGCAACTTTGAAATCTTCTTTATTATCTCACATTTTCCTGCTTAAGTTCATATACTAACTTAATCGTCGGGAGAATAACCAAACAACCCAACTCCGACCTCTTACAAGTTCTTCGTATGCAGGAAAAACAGCAAGCTCCCGGATCAATCATCTGAAGAAGCTTGAGGACCCCAATTTAACACTAATCCTTAAATAAACCCATGTTTGATAACTGACATCATCAGAGGTATCTTTTCCTTGCACTGTTTTTCTAAGAAGCCTTAGAGGAATGATGATGGTTATAGTAATAATAATAATCATCATCATCATAGTCACAATAATAATAATAATAGACATTAATATGAGAGGAATGAGCAGGGTACGTTGGTGTACTTACATGGGCATCCAGCGGGTTTCGTGTGAGAATTAAGTGAACCGATACACACGGGTATACAGTGATGAGAAGAACATAGTAATATTCACAAGTACAAAAATGATGAGCTCAAATCTCCGGACAGAATGACCTTCTGTAGAAACGAAGGCGAACAACATTTCTACATCTTGTACAGATTCAATAATACAGAAAAGGAATCATCAGATTTGTGACTACCTAAATTTTCCTACATTACAAGCTTTATTTTTACTGTTCTCATGGGAAAAAAAAACTCCCAAACCCTCCTCTCATTCTTTCAAGGGTTCAGGAAAACAAACTGAGCATCCTATACTCTATACAACACGTTAAAATACACTAAAACCCAGTTGCCTGCTTGCTGATATTTTAGCAGTCACAGTGACAGACCGCACTGCTGAAACAACCGGCTTTAGGGGGAATCTTCTTCACTCCCGTGTTCTCGTTGAGAGCCCTAATTGTGAGCGGGGAAATGTAGATCCTCTCCATAACGTTAACTTTTGGGGCGTCGATAATTGCCTTTGGTGGAGACAGTGCCCATTGCATTGCCCAGATTGAGAGAGGGCGCATATAGATTAATGATCGGTAATGTCCATCTGTTGTCCATGCTTCAGGGGTCTGAAACCAGTACCTATCATCACCAAAAAAAACCGAAGATTTAGTTTCTATGGATTTGCAATCATGAACCGGTGGAGAGAAATATAGTGAGAGCTGTGGATTTGTTATACTGAGGCATTATTGTAGCACTAACATTGAATTAAGCAGTAACATTTGTAAGATACAAGAGAATTGCTAGCTGAAGTTATGCATGTTACACAAGGGTTAGCAACTAAAAACTTAAACAAAGCAATTCCAATGTAAAAATAAGAAGAGTCCCACACATCTAATTGCGGCATGCTACATGAAAATTAGAGCATAGGCAACTGAAGCAATATGCAGAGAAACTAAAAAGTGAAGAGAGAAAAGTTCCTTACCCAAATCCTTCTTCTGACCAGCCTGTAGTAAAAATACCTTCTGCAGTAGTAAACGCCTGCTGCTCCATACCAGCAAGAAGCATGTTGGCAGCTACAGCATAAGTCACACCAGTCCAGATTTCACGTGACTGCATGCAAGATTCGTCAACTTTTCCATTAGGATGCATTCCATTAACTGCTCCCATACGCCCTCCTCCAACCCTCATCACATTAAAGTCAAATATTTTCTGAAGTGCGCTTTTGATTTTACTATCATCAAAAAGTGAGGGCAACCCCGAAGAAGCAGCATACCATTGCCCTGCCAGTTGATCTGCCTGAATAGAGCGACTGTTGCTACTTGTCCCGCTGTCATAATTGAAGTATGAACCATTCCATAGTTTGGATTCTATCACCTGCTTAGCTTGCATAAACTTAATAGTGCATTTCTCTGCAAAGGCATGATCTCCAAGACGATGAGCCATTGCCGCTGCAGCTTGCAGCGAAGCAAGCCACAAGCATCCACAATAGGCACTGATGCCATGCACTGTCCAAGCATCATAGGTTTGATCTGGAAAGCCATCATTCTCAATAAGACCATCTTCGTCGCGATCAAACTGCTCCATGTAGTCAACGGCAGCACGAACTGCTGGCCAGACTTCCCTCCCAAAAGCCATGTCACCAGTTGCCGCAAAATCCCTATACACCTGAAGCACAAACTTTGGGTTGAGATCCTTCCATTTACTCGTGTCATGTATATTATACGCATTCATTTCATGCCAAGGATCATGAGTTCCTAGATCATGAGGAACAGCACCTCTAACTTTACGGATCCCCCAATTACCATCTGCCAAGAACTTTATTTTCCTTGTATCCTCGGCTAAGACAGCCCTAGCAAAATCACGCTGGATGCTTAGCTCAATTTTTGGGAAGAGATCAAGAAGAGCAAAAGATGCATAGAAGTGTACATCATAAGTACACCACATGATATACTCTACTCCTTCTAAGTACAAGAACCTCCCAACATTTTCAGCATCAAGATGGGCATTTGGATGAGATCCACCCTGTACAATTTCAGGACCACTTTCCTTCTCACAGTCTGACAGTTCGTGTCCCGCAGCTCCTTCCAATGAACCAATAACATTTGCATCTTCATTGCGCGTCACAGAAACAGTGGCAGTGTGCCCAACCAAAGCTGCCTTGTTATGTTTCGTGGATTTAGGCTTTGAAATCTTCATAGATTTGTCTTTTTTTTTAGAAAATTTTAGCCTCTCGTCAAAAGCAGGAGCTTCACCATCTGCATTAGGTAAGAACCACAACAATTGATCATTAAAAATATGGAGGCAACGCATCAAGCAAGGATTATAAAAAATAGCATGGGTAAAGTTTACATAAAACTCATAAACAAGGCCAGGATGCACTAAGAATAACCAAGGGACAAATTTTCAAAACCAACCTATTTACAAATTTAATCACAGAAAACAACCCACTTCAGATTTAATTGCAAAAACCGACCTGGTTTCAGCCTTGGCGCTGAAACCAGGTCGGTTTTTGTGAAAAAACTTTCGAAACTTCACGGGAGTTGAACTCCCGTGAAGTTTCCCAGTACAAAAAAAAAAAAAAATTGAACTACGAAACTTCACGGGAGTTCAACTCCCGTGAAGTTTCGGATAAAAATTTTCAAAAACCGACCTGGTTTCAGCTCCAGGGCTGAAACCAGGTCGGTTTTTGCAATTAAATCTGAAATAGGTTGTTTTCTGCTATTAAATTTGTAAATAGGTTGGTTTTGAAAATTTGTCCAATAACCAAGATGTCAAAATTCCATGGATTTCCCTAAAGCAAGAAGCAACATGAAATGCCTATGAATATATAGCTAAAAACCCACAGTAAAGTACAATCAAAACCAACAAAGCCTCCAACTCATCAGGTCGTACTGTAGTAAAACAAACATGAAATGTTAAGGAAGATCTCTCAAGAACAGGGGGAAATATAGACTATAGGGAGAGCCAATAAGAAGCAAAGCTTAAAATGCATGCATGCTTCGATAAATAATACCTGTCCAGACTGTTCCTCCAGCAACTAAAAAGTAGAGCTCATTAAAAAGAGTAAACTTGTACCTGAAATCATTGAAAGAAATTTGCATCAGTATCAAAGCCTAACACTAAAAGAACAGTGTTATTCAGAACTCTACCAAGGCCACTAACTATGTGTCAATCATGCAGGTATTAGTTAGAGTTATATATGAGTTGACACAAAAATATTGTCATTAGTCAATGCTAGCATAACTTCTGTACTACCAGTGTTTCAAATATCGGCCGACATGTCGGACATGTCGGCCGATATGTCGGATCGGGTGGTCTAGCGGCATGAGTCGGGCTAATTCAAGTCGTGTATCGTTTTTTAAGAGGAAATCGGAGATATCGGGTATAAATCGGACATGTCGGCTGATTTTTCACCTTTGAAAAATCGGCCGACTTCAATTGATATCGGTTTACAAAAGTTTTTGAGTTATTGGGTTTGGGTTTTCACAAAACCCAAACCCATTTGACCGCTGCTAACCTTTTCAGAGACTTTTATACGAACGAAAACGAGAAAGAAAGTCATCGTCAGCCGAAAACGAGAAAGAAAAACAAAAAACTAGGGCATCTTCGACCGACTTCCCCTCTCTCTCTCTTGAGGCATCGTCAGCAGCCTTCGACCGCGTCGACCGCCTTCAATCTTCAGCGCCTCTTCGACGACATCTCCGACCGACCGCATCTTCGACCGACAACATCTTCGAGTTCCATCGTATTTCGACCGACCGCATCTTCGACCGCATCTTCGCTTTTCAGGGACTTCAATCTTCAGTTGTCGTTGTTCCTGGAGAGTATGTCTCTCTCCTCTCGCCTACTTTCTCTCGTGCCCCCCGCTTCTCTCTCTCAGGCCCCGCTTTCTCTTCGCCGCCCTTCTCTCTCCCCCCCCTCTCTCTCTCTGAGTCTGAGCGCCTCTCTTGAGAATAGGTGGATTCGGTACTGGGACTTTTTTTTTGTGGGTTTATAGAAAACGAATTGGGTTTAAGTGGCCAAGTGGGTACTGGGACTTTTTTTATGTGTCCTGTGAAGTTTCATGTGGGTTTATAGAAAACGAAATTGAAAGGAAACAAGTTGGGTTTAAGTCTTTAAGATGCAGTGTATGATATTTGTAAACAGGAATGCTCAAAAACAAATTGGGTTTAAGACAAATTGGGTTTAAGTCTTTAAGATGTAGTGTATGATATTTGTAAACAGGAATGCTCAAAAACAAATTGGGTTTAAGACAAAGAATTATGAACAGTGTATGATATTTGTAATTTTGTCTAACAACTGAGAATTATTTTGTTAGGATATTTTGAATTAATTAATATGAAAGATTGATGGAGAACTTGTTGTAACCTTGTTTAATTAATATGAAAGATTCAATCTCTTAGTTTTTAGTAATCCTTGTTTATCATCCTTGTTTATCATTTAATAATCCCTGATTTCTCGTAATAATCCATGTTTATCATCTTATGATATAAATATTACATGTTTAAAAACTTTATAGAGTTTCTGCGAAGTTTCTGCTTTTCTTCTTTTTTCTTCTTCATGTGACAGTCTGGTAGCCTCCTTCTTGAATTTTTCCCCTGTCAAATAAAATTAATTAATAGTTAGTAATTAAATTATGAATATGTTGTCTAAATCTGTATTTGTCTTATTTTATAGAATCATGTCGTCTGAAGGACAAGGATCTACTAGACCGCCAACAACATCAAAACCGGACGGTAAAGATCCATGTTGGCTATATGGGGAGAGAGTTGGTTCTGATACAAGTTAAATGCAAATATTGCACTCAAATTCTTAATGGCGGGATTAGCCGATTCAAACAACACCTAGCAGGAAAGGGGAAATTATGCGCCGTGTGTGAAAGTACTCGATGATGTTAAGGCAAAAGTTTCTGAAATTTTAGATAATGCAAAGAAGAGTAGGGATGAGAAGGAGACAAAGATGCATAACTTGTTGAGTGAGGTGCATATTGGGGAGGATGAGGAGGATAACTCCATCTCATTGAGTAGTCAAAGAAGCTCGTCATCCTCCCACAAGGTAATTGGACCAATGGACTCCTTCGCCGCTCGTTCTCCAGAGGAGATTGCCCAAATAGTAGCAAAGGGGAAACAACCAATGATGGACTCCAAACTTAAGAAGAAGAAAAGGGAGGATGTATTGCGATACGTCTCCAAATGGTTCTATGAAGCCGGCATTCCATTTCATACCGCCACGCTTCCCTCTTTCCATCAAATGCTACAAGCTATTGACTTGTTTGGAAGTCATTTGCAAGCTCCATCCATGTATGAACTGAGTGGGACATGTTTGCAAAAGGAAGTTGAAGAGACAAAAGAAATTGTTGAAAACTTTAAAAGGACTTGTGTTGTCAATGGTTGCTCGATAATGACCGATGCATGGAGTGATCGGAAGTCTAGAAGCATCATGAACATAGTTGTACATTCTGCTGGGAGAGCTTGTTTTTTATCTTCACATGATGCATCGGCCGATAAGCACGATGCTAAGTATATCTTTGATTTTGTAGACAAGGCTATTGATCAGATAGGGGAGGCAAATGTGATACAGATAGTCACTGATGGAGCTTCAAACAATATGGCGGCTTCTAAGTTATTGCTTGAGAAGAGGCCAAATATATTTTGGACGACTTGTGTTGCACACACGGTGAACTTGATGTTGTGCGATATAGCAAAGATAAAACCCATTCGTAATGCCATTTTAATGGGGAGGAGTGTATCAATATTCATATATAATCACACCAAGCCTCTTCAATTATTTAGGGAGTTCACTAAGGGTGATCTTGTGAGACCGGGAGTTACGAGGTTTGCTACAGCGTTCCTTTCTCTACAGTCATTAAGAGATCATAAGAAAGAGATGAGGCAAATGTTTATCTCTGACCAATAGACAGATTGTAGCCTTTCAAGAACATCAGTGGGTAAAAAGGTTGATCATTTATATTTCATTGATTGGATTTTTTTTGTATGTTTGTAGGTTGCAGAGATAATTGCTATCAACAAGTTTTGGGATAGTATAGATTTTGCCCTTAAAGTATTCAGTCCTCTAGTGAAGGTTCTTCGAAGAGCGGATGGTGATAAAATCGGTTCGATGGGATTTATATATGGGGACATGTTGGTTGCTAAGGAGGAGTTGAAAGTGGCCCTTGGGAATGATGAGAAGAAGTACAATCCCATATTGAAAATGATTAAGCCGAGATTTAAGAAGAATCTTTGTGAAACGCTACATAAAGCGGGTTACTTTTTGAATCCTTTTTACTATTACCCGGCTTACACGGACATTGAAAATGATGGAAGCTTCATGAATGCCATAGTGAAGTGATGACCATGCGACTTTCACAAAGTTTGGAAATCAAATACCTAATTATCAAGAACGCCTAGGGTCATTTGGGGATCAATTTGCGAGGCGAAGTGCTATTAAGGGTGATTGTCCGGGTAAATTTATGTTCTCATTCAAATTAATTCATTGACCTCTTTTTTGAATTTATAAGTTACTAATTTTTTTTCATTTGATCATTGACTAGTTACTTGGTGGAGGCTTTATGGAAACGAAACTCCCGAGTTAAGGAAGATGGCAATGAAGATTTTGGGCTTGACAACTAGCTCTTCGGCTTGTGAAAGAAATTGGAGTACATTTGAGATGGTAATATTATTTCTTAAATTTTAATCATCTTGTATGCTTGTATTGTAGTATTTGATGATTAGTTGTTTTATGCTAATTCATGATTTTTTTTTGTAGATTCATATGAAGAAGAGGAATAGACTAACTCATAAAAAACTTCATGATTTAGTCTTTGTCAAGTTCAATGCAAAGTTAGAGGAATAGACTAACTCATAAAAAACTTCATGATTTAGTCTTTGTCAAGTTCAATGCAAAGTTGAAGAACAAGCATGCCGTCCCAAATAGAGATCCTTTAACCGCCTACGATGATGAGGAAAGAGTCACCGAATGGTTGTTGGGTGAGGAGGAGAATAATAGTGATGATGAAGTATTTCCGGGAGAGTGTTTAACTTTTAGACAAGTTGGAGATATTTCGGGAGCTAATCCAAGGAAGAGAAAGAGTGGAAGGTTGCAAACGTATACAAGAAAGAAGAAAGCGGGATCATCTTCATCGAAAGGAAAAGAGCCGATGGAAGATGACGAGGAAGAAGAGATGGATGCGTTCTTCACGGAGTCGGATGAGGATGCTAATGCTACTTTTGAGGATGATGATGAAGATTGATTCTAGACTTTCTAGTTATCTTAGCTTTTATGTTATTATCGATTTGCTCTTGAATGTTAAACAATTTTAAACTATTTGTAGCTTTAAAAACTTGTTTGTTTGTTTTGATTTGCTTATGTTTGATATGAATCTTGTGAGTTGTGATCTTCATTCTATATGTTATATCTTATATGTTACTTGCTTTATTCTTTACATGTCTATATGTTATATCTTATATGTTACTTGCTTTATTCTTTACATGCTATTCTATGTTTACTAACAATGTTATCTTATTTTGTAGGTCAAGCACCCAAATTGTTTCAGGATGCAATCGAGAATCAAATTTCTACAATCGGTTAGTAATCCTAAACATCATATATTAATTACTTTTTTATATGTCTAGTCTATAAAATTTATAAAGTATGCTTATATTGAATTTAGGAATGCTTAGATTACATTTAGGACATGATATTATGCATATGCGCCCACCCGATATGGCAATCCGATATTTAGTCCATGTCCCCCGATATATCCCCGATTTCCGCTATCCGACATGGATTTCAGCCGTCCGACATGAACCCGACATCTGATATTTAAAACCTTGTGTACTACCTCTTACAGTTCAATAGGTAAACATAATTACTAAGTTCAAAGGAAATATAAAAAAGTGATTGGCTATTCAAAAGTTCAGGAAACTAAGATCTGTGTTAATAAACTATGACTTATGCGTGTTAGCAGCAGAACATGATAAACATAATTTAGGCTTTGGTTTGTCAGGCTGAGATTGGACAGATTGCAGGTTTGAAATTTTTCGCATATAGAGAGATGATAAGCATACTTTAAGCTTTTTTTACTAATGCATAGTTAAGATGTAGAGGAACAGTAAGAATGTCCACTAAAGAATTTAACCTTTCATTAGACATTTTACCTGCCTTTTATTAGACATCTGTCTTCGTTTTATTTGGAAAGAATTTAACCTTTCAAAGTAGGTCGTAAATCAGTGTCATCTCTTTTCTTTACCTGGACCACAGGCATATAGGCCTGTCTCCGCCAACAATACCCTGGTAACCACAAAGAAGTTTTGGCTCTCCAAATCAATTCAAAAAGGAAGCGGAATACGCTCCCATACCCATATTTGAACTAGGGGATGTCACGTGTTTATTAGAAATGCATCTTTAAAAAGACCTAATTTTTAAAAATGACAAATAATAATAAACATTTCTAAGAAGACAATGCAAGACTTAACAGCCTCATAATGTAATATGGATGTCACAAATGAGCTTCAGAAGATATGATCGTCTAACATTGCTCTGTGTTAGAATGGCGTAAAGCAATGTTCTAAGGTAAGTGCATTATACAAGACATGCTACAAAATTATTCTACTAATTATAATTGTACTGAGCTAATTTCAAATACTATGATGATGATGCAAACATTTGAATAATGGTGGGACAATAGCCATAAAAGAACAATACACTGTACAGAACAGATTTTTATATGATTTCTGAAAAAATCCAAAACATAAAAACAAAACAAATAAATAAACAAGTTACCATTCTGGAAGCTTTTCATCCATGAGAATAGGATTTTGCCATTTCTCAATCTCTTCTTCCCAGCACTTATACTCTGAGAGTTCATTCAGAATAGTATCAGACTGTGAGGTTGCAAGTGTAACTCTATAAAGATACATTATTTCTGCAAGAACTTAAAGATAATTTACAGCATAAGTATTGCTCATACTTGTCAATGCATCATGCACCAAATCAACAGCTGATCTCTCAGAAGTTCCAAAGAATCTCGTATATCTCCTGATAGGGATAAAAGAGTAATTTTAGAAATTTTTCCTAGAAAGTAAATAATGTTGACTTCTAACAATTTATTAACCTGATAGACATTACCAAGACCGTTGAATCACAACAAATATTTTAACCATTATAACCAAAAACCCTGTCCAGGTGTTTGCAATTATAAGCCTGAAATTTGTTTAATTAGGGAAGGACCACAATCTTCGAAAATAAAACATTAGGTGCAAAAGATAAGAAACCACATCTCCAAGAGACTCACAGACAATCCAAGCAGAATCAACATACTGACTCGTCACAATAAGTTAAATTTCCCCTTTAGTAAGAAAATTCTTGAATCAAAGCAAGACCTGGAGGCGTCATGCATACTCCCTAATAGACATGCTAAGAGAGAAGGAACGTGTAGAAGTGGGAGACCAGAGATCTCTTATACTGTCTGCAATATTACCTGTGATAAATGCATCCCTTCTGAAATTTTACTTTAGGGGATGACCAGGCTAAAGCAAATGCAACAGTACACCTTCCGTGAGGCTCCACCCAAGTAGAGGCTGAGACTGCTGCACAAAGAGTATCTCCTGGCGAGGATGGTCTACTGGGGCCAGAATTGAAACTCTCTCGCCCAAAATGTCCATCCTTGAACCATTAGCAATCAGTTATAAGCTCAAAATCACAGCATAGAGATGACATTTATTTAGACATAATAGACGAATAGAAAAAAAATATTGTAATGAAACAAGACCACATATCCTTAGCTGAACCAGAGTGAAAGTCTGAATTTTACAAGAAAAAAGGTACCTGCACCATAGCAGCCCACGTGTCGCTAGCTGTAACACGATCATCCCCTGAAAGCCAAAAACTCGGTAACACTGTTACGTTCACATTTTGAGTTTCGCATGCAGCAATAGCGAAAGTAACTGGAGGATTATCCTTAGCAGTCCTGCATCATTACTAACAACCTTAGAAATATAACATAATAATGGGAGCATAATCATAATATAACCTGGACTTCCTGGAAACAAATTGTAATTCTCATATTAAGCAGCTTAGCAAACAGTGGCACTATCGATTAGGGACATATATGCAAAGCACAGAAACAGGATTAAAAAGGTCATGTTGCTATCCGCAGAAGCAATCTGAGGTGCCCATAGCATGCAGTAAGGTGGACCCACGACCACAAAAATGACCTAAAGGAAAACTGCTAACCAACCGTCATAATAGAGCAATCAAGGGTTGACAACTTGCTTGTGATGTAGAAGCACCCCAGATACTCCATCTTCTCCACTGCAAAAGATTTAGATGACAATTTGCATTAACCTCAAAAGTGTAGATTAAATGACAACTCATAAATATTTAAAATAGGGTAGTACTAACATGAATGGCTCATTGACGTGATCTCCAGACAGATGAGAAACTCCGCCAATAGAATTCTGCACCAATTTATCAGGAAAACTGATAAACATAATGGACACTAAAAAAAGAAAAAAGTGAATTGCTCAAAAGAGGAATGGTTGGAAAGATTTGCATACCGCCCAAGTCATGAGCAAGCTGACCTTTGCTCTCTCTCTCCCAGTGTTCACTAACTACAATAAATAAATAAGAATTCACATAGAAAGCAATTGACAAAGAATTCAGATTTATGTGCATGCTACATGTCATTTCCAATCGAGCCCAAGATCTATTCATGGCTTCCTAAATCACTAGAGAAGCTGACTATCCATTGCAATAATTAACAATCACATAGATAGTTTCAATTATGAGTAGAACACTAGTGAGTAAAAGTTACAGGTGGTTAGAATGCACAAAAACATAGTAAGTTTTACTTTGCTATGAGAGTAAAGCTACAAATAGAAATTTCAACTAAAATAATTTGAATATTGTGCTGAAAAAATTCTGCCACATCCAACTACAAAAGACAATATTGCATTCAACAGCAACATGCTTGCATAACAGATAATGCATGACCATGCACACCAAAAGGATAAGGAAGATAACTTCAGCTGCAAATTTATGGAATACATACAGTGTACACAAACACAGACGTAGGGTAGCTGCTCTCCTGATAGTTGTGAGGTATGAATGGAGATATTTGTCGACATGATATTTTGAGTTCTGGGTCTGGTTCACCTGAAGTGAAGGAAACCAATTAAAAATCATTACATTGAAAGGATTCCAAAGTAAAGATCTCAGATATCTAAGAAAAAAATCATTTAATGAAAAACATCAAAGATAAGACACTATAAGAATTAATTATAGAGGAACAGTACCATCATATACAGTCCACGCCCTGGGAAATAAAGCATGATATGTGGAATGCTGACCGCTCAGGTTCCAGTCCCAAGATGATATTCCTTTATCACCAGATTTCCTAAAAAAAGAAGTTCAGGTTAGTTCTGATGGCGCTATGATAACATGTCTTCTAGTTTCATCTTCACATGATAAGTACACAATAGGCTGCCCCAAAGCTTCTGACCAAATTATACATGCAGTAACTGGTTCCGAAAGTGAGTTATGTGGACATATAAGTCAAGGCGGAAAGTCACATTGTTCATGACTGCATAAAGAATTGTCATTGAGTGATACTTATGTGTGTATGTGTATAAATTAAAAGGGAATTTGGACCCGAAAACCATTCCATATTTTCATGTGCCCGCATACAAGTCTGATTTTCCATTTACTTTACATACCAATATCCACACACACACAAAGGCACACGCATACGCATGCACTCGCACGCGCATCTACACATACGTATACTTACGTGGCGCGTGTGTGCACACATACAACAATAGAACTTTTATGCCAAAGTTTTGGGATCGGACATGAGTTGTTCTCTCATTTATTTTTGTTGAGGCTATCCCCTCGACTAGGTTAGCCACTATTATATCCTTCTTACTTTCTTCTAACTAACTTCTTTTAGGCCCACCTCTAGTTCTTTCTCCATTAACTATAATCTTATCACTTCTCGTCATTTAAAGGTCTCCAGGGCAAATGATCAAATTATCTCAATTCTATCTCTTGACGTACATCATCCCGAATAAAAATGTGGCAAACCAACCATACACCATAAGGTACTAAAATAGAGATATGTGAACATTACGCAGGAACATTACGGGTAAAGGCCATAGATTAGACTGAATTTCCAAGGCCTGTGATACTATCATACTAATGCACTGGCACCGAACCATTCCTACCACAACATTTGCCAAACAGTTAGATACATACTGTATAAAATTTGATTAAGAAATCACAAATCCTGCCAATAGAAATTATAAGGCATCTTCAGATGTTACAAAAAAGAAACAACGGCCATATTTAACCTGGTTCAGTCAAAAGAAAAAAAATTGGTTGTAATGCAACTCAATAGTTAAGAGGAAATTATTCAACGTATGATTAACCTGTTCAGAGTCAGAATCTTGACCAAACCAGTCTCAGATCTGTCCTGAATAATTAGATCATTAGGATTTGGATGTGTTCATGGTTGTTTCTGAATATTTTCGGATACACGACATTAGTTAACTACAACATTTAGAATGTGAGACAAATCAAAACCAAAAATATATGCTTGTACATTATATATGATTAATGCAGTTGTTCTATGAGAATTTCTAATCTGAATTCCATATTTTGCAAAGTACTTGCAAAAGAAAATAGATGCTAAATCAAGATGCTTGTCATAGCCACATCTTGCGTCTATGTTGTTCTTCTCTTACCTACATTTATATTTGTTCTCACAAGAACTGTATCGATAAAAATAAGGGAGAAAGTAAATCAACAAATAATAATAATAATAATTCTAAAGCAAGAAAACAAAAGCCTCACTTTATTCCTTCGTGATGACCAGGGGCTAAAACTGAAGAGAATTTTTTGCTTCCTCCATCTCGAGTAATGAAAATCTACAATAATGAAGTGATGAAAAGTCATAAAACATATATTTAAAAAAATTTGTAAGTAACACAATAAGTGACATTATTGCACAACAGACTGCTAGAGAAACAAAAAGAAACAAAAGACATTAGCAATATTTAAGAAATAAGAAAAACTTTTAGATAGGCCAGAAGAAAATAATTACAGAGAACTGATTCGTCATGACTGGAGACATTTCACATTGTCCAGGAAGAATCTGCCAGTGTTTAAACTCCCCTCTGAAACCTCTAGATATGCTTCCGCTTCTGCAGAAAAGGTCATAAAAAACTTAATATCACAATGTACAGACTTTAAGTAAACTACATTCATAAATTCCACTTACCCCATTCCTCCAAGTGGGACCCCAAGAGAAGCTGAGGGCTTACAACTTTCTCGGGTAAATGGATCAATTGGTGCTTTCTGAAAATTTTTAAAAAAAGGCATCAACTAAAATAGATAAAAACAAATAAAAATACTAAATATCCAATCAAATGATTAATCAACTGTTCATGCACACACTGTCCAGTCCATGAAGAAAATACTGTCTCTAAAAATATGAAGAGTAAACAGTCATGATTACCCTTCCATAAGAGGCTTCTTCTCGAACATATGACCAAAGACGAAGACCAAGACTAAGCTGAATTCCAAATCAAAAGCAAAATGTCAGCAAATTCACTTAGGGCAACAAAACTATAAGTCCGCTAAAAGAAATTCTAAGGAAAAGCCACCAAGGAAATGTGGTTTGGGTGAAATACCATTCTCATAGCTTCCATAAATGTCACACTAAATTCCTTTAATTTATTAGCATGGCTGTTCAATCTCCTTCTCCATGCCTGCCGTGGTGGTGCACCACCATCAAAGTCCAACTACAACCACATATTGAAAAATTTGTAATCAAATGCAAACAAAACCAAGGGGTGGAAGAGACCACCCAAAAAAAACACATTTTTAGTAAAATTTTAAGTATGTACATATCTAAGCCCAAAGAAATTTGATAGTTTTGTACAAAAAGATAGATAAGAGAGAGAGAGAGAGAGAGAGAGAGAGAGAGAGAGAGAGAGAGAGAGAGAGAGAGAGAGAGAGGGTGCTAATTGTAATTGGAAAAAGATTTCTCATCCGAAAAGGAAGCCTCTTGCAGATTAACAAATATAACAAATCAAAATTCATACATAGACCAACAAAAGTATTAACCTTGCTATCGAAAACAGGATTTAATTTTGTAAATTTCAGATTCGCATCAAAGAAAATCAGTAGATTTCTATAGATCAAGATCAACAATCACCGTCAAATCAGCTAATAAAGTATCACGATTTACAAATAAAGTGTCAAAGAGAAAGAAAGAAAGAAAAAAAATAAGAAGCTCACCAATTGAAGAGTAGTTCTGTTGACATACTCATCAGCAGGCCAAGAGTGCTTCCTGCAATGAAACAGATGACCGCTCACCATGATCCAATCTCTGGAAACCCTAATTCGTACAGTCAACGAACCACAAATCGACAAAACTCCAGAGATCAATCGAAAGGATTCGGTGGACCTAGTGGAGGATTTAGGTATAAAGATCCTCTCTTCCCCGGTGAATCGAATCAAAATCAGAACCCTAGAGGGATCTATTGACTCGTAACCCTAAAATTTATTGGAATTAGAGAGGGAGAGAGAGAATGGAGCAGCAAGAGAGGCAACTGCAGTAGACCGCCATTTACCGCTGAGGAGGAAAAAGGGGAGGCCTTTTTTATTTTATTTTATTTTTTCCCCCTGCGGGTTGAAAAGCCACCGTCTAAATTGATTTTATGGGCTTTCCTTTCTTTCAAATACACCCCTTCTTTGTTTTGGGTTTAGAGATTAGTACTGCATAACAAGAAAATTTGCATAATATATCCTCTATATATTTGTTATCCTATTTTTTGGGAGCAGACACCTCAGTGAAAATTTGTGATTGGTTAAAATCACTAAAATATTTGAAGAGGCGGATGGATCACGAGTAATTCTTTCGGTGAGATAGACCCTCAATTGCTATTTTTTTATTTTTAAAAGAATTAAAGAAGTTCACTAAAGGGGGTGTATTCGCATCTAAGCTAATACCATAGAGGGTGTATTCGTAACAAATAGAACCATAGGGATCAATTCGCATTTGAGTGGTACTAAGGGGGTCTATACTCAATTCCCTAAAGAATGTAATGCATAGTATTATTATTAAATTTTATAAAATTCTAAGGATGAACATATGCAACTTCATGAGTATAAATGATGCAAATTTTACTCCTCACAGAATTACCTTTCCCTTTTTTTTTTTTTTTGGTCTCCAACTTATTTTCACGAATCAAATATCCATCGTCACTCGCTCAAAAGCGGCACACACAATAATGTTCAAAGGATTAGATCCCATTTCTGTTATTCCATCCGTATATATATTTCTCAAGGGACCACTGAGCTCCAAGACATCAATTAGGTTTGAAAAATGAAGAAATTTTCAAAACCGACCCAAAATCATGTTTTTATTTTGAAAACCGACTCAAATTTTTTTAATTTATCAAAATCGACTCACTTTTTGCCACGTCAGCTTAATTTTATTTCCTAATTAGTCGGGGTTACCAACCCCGACTATTTAGGACAGCAAAAATCAGGTTTAAGGCTTCTAATTGGGGTTTAACAATCTCCTAAACAGTCGGGGTTGCCAACCCCGACCGTTTAAGAATGCGATTAAGCTGACGTGGTAAAAAGTGGGTCGATTTTGATAAAAAAAAAATGGGTCGGTTTTGAAAATAAAAACATGGTTTGAGTCGGTTTTAAAAATTTCTTCTTTGAAAAATCTATACGAGAATTATAGGACGGGGAAATATTTCAAAATGGACCAGCCATTTGTCTTCTCATGTCATGATAATTCGTGACCAATTTTTCTGATATTTTATGTTTAATAATTAATCTTTGGTTTTTCTGTTAAAAGTGTTTTGTTAATAATTACTTGATGATGATTATGAATGAAGGGGATAGTCAGCCGTCGCATTCCGTCCGTACCACGTTGAATTAGTGTTTTCAGCTGTTTGGTTTGAAAAATAGAAAGCCGCGTCAACAAAAGGGTGCTATTTATTAAGGCTTTGTTTTTTTCTCGATGAAACACGAGATAAAGTGATAATGTCTTTTGAATAAAGAAATAAGATACTTGAAGATTTTTCAACGACTCTCACTTTGCTGTTATTATTAGAATATCACAATATTCTAGCCGAAATATTCTCCCAGTAGCCGAAATATTCTCCCAGCCGAAGTGCTATCTATTTGTCCGGAAATCCAGTCAACCATCAACGCACAAAACATATAGAAATGGATATTCATTTTGTTCGGGAAAAGGTTGCTAAAGGTCAAGTTCATGTCCTACACGTCCCCTCTCGTTATCAATATGCAGATATTTTTACCAAGGGACTCCCACGAGTATTATTCGACGAATTCAGATCCAGCCTGAGCGTACGTCCGCCTCCCGCTCCGTCTGAGGGGGTGTATTAGAATATCACAATATTCTAGCCGAAATATTCTCCCAGTAGCCGAAATATTCTCCCAGCCGATTGCCTTCCATTTTATAATTATCTATAGTTGTTAAGTTGTTATTAGCATATTCTATTATAGTCAAGTTAAGATTTGTATACCTTAATCTCCTCCTAGAATCTTGCAAAGGAGGCAATATAATTTGTATATATTAGGCTGCACACATCAATGAGAACGGCAGGAGATTACATTCTTTCATGGTATCAGAGCCTAATCTCTGATCAAAAATCTTCAGATCCAATTCGGTTGTCCTCCTCATCCGATCAGCACTCAAGTTTCTGGCATCATCCTCTCTGATCAGCATTTGAGCTCCTCTCTGATCAAAACTTGAGTTTCATCTGCCATTGCCCACTCCAATCAGATCTTGCCTTCATCATCTCTTCTCTTCCGCTTGCAAACACACCATGACTAATTCCCTTGACTCGAGCTCCTCAGGCTCGAAGCACCCTGTTTTTCACCCGGCTTTTGCCGTCTCAAACATTAACAACCACATCAAACTCACCTTGGACACCGAAAACGTGCACTACGCACATTGGACGGAATTGTTCATCAATACCGCCAAAAGCTTTGATGTGGCCGATCACATTGTCATTCCTAAAGACAGCCCTCCTGTCACTACCGATGCTCAGTGGGAGCGTTTAGATGCCATTGTAAAACAATGGATCTATAGCACCATCTCTCCAGACCTTCTCCATACAATAATAACTCCTGGTGCAACCGCTAAGGAAACGTGGGATCGCTTAGCGGATATCTTTCAAGACAATAAACACTCTCGTACGGTATTTTTGGAGCAAGAATTCACCCGTACTCATATGGACCAATTCCAGAGCATTTCCGCTTATTGCCAAGCCCTAAAAATGTTGGCTGACCAACTTGCTAACGTTGGTACTAAAATAAGCGATGACCGACTAGTTCTCCAACTAGTCACCGGCCTGTCCATAGACTACGCCACTGTCGCCACCATTATTGAGCAAAGCAATCCGCTCCCCTCGTTCTACAAAGCGAGATCCATGCTCCTCCTTGAAGAGACACGCCGAAACAGATCCATTTCCACAGGTACAGCCCTTGTCGCTGCTTCTCGTCCTTCGGCTCCCCCTGCTGCCACCACCTCTTCACCACCACACACCTCCTCTCGCCCACCCCAAGGTCGAGGCAGGGGTGGAGGTGGTCGTGGAGGTCGTTTTCAAGGCGGACGAGGGCGTGGCAAGGCACATTGGACGTCCAAATCCAACGCATCAAGCTCTTCAACTCAGCCCCCTCCATCGTGGACTTGGGTTCCCTTCAACCAGTGGACTGCACCACCCTGCCCTTATCCTACCACGGGGTGGGCTCCTCGCTCTACGGCTCCTGGATTACTTGGTCAGCGCCCACAACAGGCTTTTGTGGCCCAATCACAACCAGCCGAACAACCTTCGGGAATGTTCGTACCCACTACTCTGGCCGAAGCTATGCATACTCTCTCTCTAACTCCGCCTGACGATGATTGGTATATGGACACTGGTGCTACATCTCACATGACGTCTGATCAAGGTACACTCTCTCCCTATTTTAATTCGAGCTCGACAAATAGTATCATCGTTGGTAATGGCAGCTTGATTCCAATACACGGGTTCGGTAACACTTTCTTTAAATCCCCTCATCCTCCTCTAGCACTTAAAAACGTTTTACACGCCCCTAAACTAATTAAAAACCTTATTTCTGTCAGAAAATTTACTACTGACAACTCTGTTTCTGTAGAATTTGACCCGTTTGGTTTCTCTGTCAAGGACCTTCAGACGGGGACACAGCTGATGCGCTGTAGTAGCGCAGGAGACCTCTACCCCATCAACCACTCCATCAGCACACCTCCTCGCACTGCTCAAGCTCTCACTGCCGCAACTACATGGCACAACCGTCTCGGACACCCGGGACATCCTGTTTTTCATATCCTTCAGAAAAATAATTCTATTACTTGTAATAAACTCAATTCTAGTCGTATTTGCAATTCTTGTGAACTCGGTAAGCATATTAAACTTCCATTCTACCCGTCTAAAACTCAAACTTCTCTCCCTTTTGACATCATACATAGCGATTTGTGGACGTCACCTGTTAAAAGTACGATGGGTCATCACTACTATATTTTATTTCTTGACGATTACACGAATTTTCTATGGACTTATCCCCTCACTTACAAATCCCAAACATTCGAAACATTCACCTCTTTTCACCGATTCATCACCACCCAATTTGAAAGACCCATCAAAAACTTACAATGTGATAATGGTAGAGAATATGACAACAACTCGTTCACTAAGTATTTCTCTGATCATGGAATTACTTTTCGCTTATCCTGCCCTCACACTTCATCACAAAACGGCAAGGCCGAACGCAAAATACGTACTATTAATAACCTTCTTCGAACACTCCTATTACACGCCAATGCCCCCCCCTCTTTCTGGCATCACGCGTTGTCTATGGCAACGTATTTACACAACATTCTTCCCAGCAAAACAATCAATTATCACACTCCCACTGCTCGCCTATATCACCGCATACCCGACTACAAAGAAATCAAAACCTTCGGATGTCTTTGTTACCCTCACTTACCTTCTTCTAGTATTCACAAACTCGACCCCAGATCCAAACCCTGTGTCTTCCTCGGTTATCCAGCTCACCACCGAGGGTACAAATGCTTTGATCTCTCCTCTAAAAAATTCTTCATTTCTCGTCATGTCACCTTTGACGAATCTACATTCCCTTTTCACAATCTAAACGACCCAACACCCGACTCTTATCATTTTTTAGAGTCCCCTCTGTCACCTTATGTTGCCCAGCAATACTCTCAACCATCGCCTAACATTCCACAAAATAATACTACACCTCCTGTCACCCGTGCACCACCCGTACTCCATACATCACCGCCCTCGCCTACCCCTGTTAACTCACCCATTTCTGCCCCTCCACCCACGCCTAACATTCCAGCCAATTCGCTCTCTCCCCTGCCAGTCACAAATACACCCGACAACCACCCTCAGCCACCATCTCCTCAAATGAGGACCCGTTCCCAACACGGCATATTCAAGCCTAACACCATTTTCGACCTCAGCCATACCTCCTCCATCTCGCCCATTCCCAAAAATCCCCTTATCGCTCTCCAGGACCCCCATTGGAATCATGCCATGTCCGACGAATACTCGGCTCTCATTAAAAATGGGACGTGGGTACTTGTTCCTCGTCCGTTAGATGTTAACATCACTCGCTGCATGTGGTTATTTAAGCATAAATTCAAATCTAATGGCGAATTAGAGCGATACAAAGCTCGTCTTGTTGTTAATGGCAGGTCTCAGCAGGTTGGAATTGACTGTACTGAAACTTTTAGTCCCGTTGTCAAACCCGCCACTATTCGCACTGTGCTAAGTCTTGCTTTATCCAGAGATTGGTCTATCTATCAATTAGACGTAAAAAATGCCTTCCTCAACGGTCATCTCAATGAAACCGTCTACATGCACCAACCACCCGGTTTTCGTGATAAATCTCGGCCTGACCATGTATGCCTCTTAAAAAAATCACTCTACGGGTTAAAACAAGCCCCTCGCGCTTGGTACCAACGGTTTGCTTCTTTTGTCACCACTATTGGCTTCATACACAGTCGCACTGATGCTTCCTTGTTCATATATACAAACGGCAAAGACATGGCCTATCTTCTCCTTTACGTCGATGACATTGTCCTTGCCTCTTCTACTGAAGCCGTTCGACAGTTCATTATTAGCAAGCTGCAAAGCGAATTTTCAATGACGGATTTGGGTCCCCTTCATTATTTCTTGGGTATTGCAGTCCACCGCCACTCCACAGGGCTGTTTCTTTCACAAAAGAAGTATGCACAAGAAATTGTTCAACGCGCCAATCTCTCCTCCTGTAAAGCTTCACACACCCCTGTGGATACAAAGAGCAAACTAAGCGCGAATTCTGGACCACCTGTTGCCGACCCACTCTTATACCGAAGTCTTGCCGGCGCTCTACAATATCTCACTTTTACCCGCCCAGACATCTCCTATGCCGTCCAACAGATATGTCTTCATATGCATGACCCTCGTGAAGAACATTTTAGTGCTTTGAAACGTATTATTCGCTATGTTAAGGGCACCGCCGAAATGGGTCTTACCCTCTGCAAATCCACATGTTCAAAGCTCACGGCGTACACAGACGCCGACTGGGGTGGGTGCCCCGACACCCGTCGGTCCACATCAGGGTACTGCATTTTCCTTGGCGACACGCTCGTCTCTTGGTCCTCTAAACGACAACCCACAATCTCACGATCCAGTGCTGAAGCTGAATACAGGGGTGTCGCTAACGCCGTAGCTGAAAGTTGCTGGATTCGAAACCTCCTTCTCGAGCTACATAATCCGCTGCAAAAGGCCACAATTGTTTACTGTGATAATATTAGTGCTATCTATTTGTCCGGAAATCCAGTCAACCATCAACGCACAAAACATATAGAAATGGATATTCATTTTGTTCGGGAAAAGGTTGCTAAAGGTCAAGTTCATGTCCTACACGTCCCCTCTCGTTATCAATATGCAGATATTTTTACCAAGGGACTCCCACGAGTATTATTCGACGAATTCAGATCCAGCCTGAGCGTACGTCCGCCTCCCGCTCCGTCTGAGGGGGTGTATTAGAATATCACAATATTCTAGCCGAAATATTCTCCCAGTAGCCGAAATATTCTCCCAGCCGATTGCCTTCCATTTTATAATTATCTATAGTTGTTAAGTTGTTATTAGCATATTCTATTATAGTCAAGTTAAGATTTGTATACCTTAATCTCCTCCTAGAATCTTGCAAAGGAGGCAATATAATTTGTATATATTAGGCTGCACACATCAATGAGAACGCAAGGAGATTACATTCTTTCAGTTATAAATCAAACTGACATTTAATATTTAGCATTTTATCTTAGGGGGTGTTTGGTTGCATTGTTTTTTAGAAATGCTTTCTTAAAAAGTACAAACAATGGTATTTCTGTAATTAAGAGTTTTCTATAGATTTCCACAAACTGTGTTTGGCTCAAAAAAGATTTACAGAAATATTTTCTGTAAAGTATAGAAAAGTACCAAAATTTATAGAAATTGATTCACTTCTAAAATGGGTGGAAATCTCTTGAAAATCTGACGCATTCATTATTTAAATAATAAAACTCATTAACATTTTTCTATAAAGTTCTCACTTTTCTATAAAGCTGGGGGTGTTTGGTTACATTTCTATAAATTGTAGGAAATGTTGCTCTTTTCCCAAAAGTTATGAGTAATTTTCTTGTTTTGAACCAAACAAGCACAATACAAAAAATAAGAAAATTTGTACTTTTTAACTTCTCAAAACTTTTCCTATAATTTTTTTAAGAAATACAAGGAAATCAAATTTTGGATAGAAAACATTTCCTATAATTTATAGAAATGCAACCAAACACCCCCTTATTCTCTGCAGAGAACTCAAACAATAAAAAGACATCTAGACTTTGTTAGAAAATTACAACTTGCAATAACATGGTAAAATTCACGGGTCACCGTGAGCTATCAGGGATCTTTCTCATAAAAATGCTATGTATTAATCTTATTACAAAAGGAGTACCATATGTTTCGACTCTGCATAAAAAGCTAAACACCATCAGAAAATTTTTCAATCAAGTATGGTTGGTGTTGGTGTTGAGAGTAAAAATGATCGACATTCAAGGTGTTTTCTGATTACGTACACATAATATTTTCCCGTCCGGATTTTAATATCAAAAATATTATTTTATTTATTAATCACGATACTTTTGGGAAATTAATCCATCATAATTAATAATAAAAGTGAACAAGTGTTAATAGTCAAAGGGCAGGAAAAAGTTTGATAGTTAGGAAATATACAAAAGATAATAGAGAGGGTGAAGCACTATATAAAGTCTACTAGACATTTGTTGTTGATTATAGGTAAACTACAAAAGGATGGATTCCACCATCCAAACCCCTCTACTTTAGGAAGTGGATGGATGAGTATGAACACTAAAATTTGTGTGATCATTTGAGTAACACGTTGGCAACTACTTACGTGGATATTTTTTTTTTATAAATCCTTCGGAATGGAGGGCCCGTTTGGTTGATGTTTTTGGCCTCGGGTGTTGGGCAGAAAGCCTGCCAAAAGAGCACTTTTAGCAGGCTTTTCTGTCCAACACCCGATGCCAAAAACATTAACCAAACGGGCACTGAATCAAAGAATGCGAGAGTTCTAGTGGAATCTCTTAATTGCCAGCTCACACGCAATGGATAAGTATTTACATGAATGTTATAAAGTGAAATTTTTCTTTCTAATGAATAAAACTTTAAGATTAACTTTTCATTATAAGTGAAAATAAATAACTTGTGCAATAAGCTGGGGTGGTGGCGTCGTAGCAACTTGTACTAATTAATCTGGAATTTTTGATGAAATGGAAAATTGAAAGTTTAATATACATGTGTACAGAAAAATACATACTTTGTAGAACATGTTACGTTAAAAGAGTTTTTTTTAACAATATCCTCCCAAATGCTAATAGAATAATGATAACTATACAACTAGTCTTGTAAATACTCTTTAAGGTGCACCTGCTATCTATGTCATTGTATTTTTCTTACCGTAATTTTTTTTGAAGATTATAAACAGGGTGATGGACCTTGTTCATGATATATATTATATAAAAAGGTTTAAGGTAAATATTTACATGAACAATCCAAAAGAACCGGAAGAGAACTAGGAACCAGAGGAGATGTAAACATCCGAGAGCGGACCTTCTCGTCACCGGATAGAGAAAATCTACTTAATTTGTTTCCTACTCTCCCTAAAAAAAAAAAAGACTAGAAGTTCTGAGGAAACATCCTTGAAAGCTTAATACATCAAAATGTAGTTCTACGAGAAAGGAGAAGAAACACACTGAGACTGGCACTAGAAGCTGCTAATGGAGAGGTGGCTTCAAAAGTTTTCTCTCACTGCATCTCTCGCCCCCTCTATTGCCATCCCCTGGAGCCCGATGTCGACAGCAACCTTATAGAGGGAGGCAACCTTCTTATTGCTGAAAGTGCCTATCCAAAGGAGAGAAAAACGGGCGATATTAGAGGCAGTCTGGTGGGAGAGAAGCTCTGATATTGTTGAAAATGAGATTGTTCCTGCTATACCAAATCCACCAGCAACAACATGGAGGGAGAACCTCCCATAAATAGGGGTGAGCACGGTTCGGTTCGGGTCGGTTTTTACCAAATTTTGAACAACCGAACCGAACCACCTACAATTCAAAACCGAACCGAACCATTGCAAATCGGTTCGGTGCGGTTCGGTTCGGTTTGTTCGGTTCTAACTTCATCAAGTATAACTTCACTTCAATTTATCTTTTATATATTCTTATTACCCTATGCCAACATGTATTTATTTTTTAACTTCACTTCAATTTATTATTCTTGCTCATGTATGTATACTATTTTTAAGTGAAGTAACTTGTCCTTTTGGATTAAATACTAGACTCTGACGTTGTAATTTTTTAGTAACGGACTTGCTTTGTCTTTGGGTAAACAGGTAAACGGGTAGGGTTTGAGGCAAGGGAATATATTCGGTTGGTTCGGGTCGGGTCGGTTTGAAAAATTGTCAACCCGACCCGAACCGCCTTACTCATAAAACCGCTTTTTTCGGATCGGTTCGGGTCGGTTCGGTCGGTTTTTTCGGTTTGAACCGAACCGTGCTCACCCCTACCCATAAACCTCTAATCTTGTGATCAGAAAGAAAAGGACTGAAATCATACAACATATTTTCCAAATTATTACGTTTGTTGCTTATTTCAAATTGAATGATTCAGATTATAATTCCCTATGAACGTGTTATGACAATCATAAATGTTGTTGTATCCGTAAGTAGTTATAACTCAAATGTTGCATATGCGTGTTGTTACAAATTAAATATTATTATAATAGTCTAAAATGTTGCTACTATGTTGGTAGTTGGAATAAAGAAGTGAATCCAAACACATCTTAATAATGTTGCTACTATGCTGGCTGGTAGTTTCAACACGCTTAATTATTATATGCAAATCAAATGTGTTTGACTTTTTTGGAAGAAATTTTTTTAGCCTAGGACACGGTTAGGTGCACCGATTAATTCCTAGGTGGTCTAGATTCAAAAAGTGCTTACGGCCTAATGATGTCTGAGCTGGCTAAATCAAAAGTTAAAATTTGCATTTTTATTCCTTTGATTGGAAAGCAATGCAGGTGGAAACTATTCTATTTTTTTTTCTTTTTCCTGTTTTTAGTATTATTTTTACAACTAAATCGCTCATCGGCCAGCATGTTTCATTTTTTTTAATGTACTACCATGCATACTTATTATTAATATCTTAATGAAGGATGATCCTATTAACAAATTTAGAAATTTATTTCAAAATTTGATCTGAATGTGATCGCATATATCATCGGACTCGCTTTAATCATCCTTCTGCAGTTCCGGACAAGATTCAGAAGAAATAATAATTAACCCTCTATCGCAGTTATTAGGGTTCTAGCAGGGACCGCGCACAATGTTGAAGTGATCCTATAAGGGGGTGTTTGTTTCAAATCCCAAAATTTATGGATATGGATTTCACCATAGAATTTGAAATCCATAAATTTTTTTATATGTTTTGGGATCTCTAAAATTTTGTTTGTTTCATCAATATTTTGGGATTTGGAATACCAAAATTTGTAATATTTTGTTTGTTTCATCAAACTTTTGGGATTTGGAATACTATAATTTGTAATATCTTGTTTGTTTCATCAATATTTTGGGATTTGGAATACTATAAATTATATATTATAATATTATATAATATTTTAATAACATATATTATTATAATATTATATAATATTTTGGGATTTGGAATACTACAGCATGAACAGTGATTATTGGGTCCTCCTATATATATTATATATTATATATATAATATTATATATATATATATTATATATTATATATATATTATATAATATATAATATAATGAGAGAGTCAAGGGGAAATTCATTTTAAAACTTTACTATCAAATATAAAATACACACATTATCTAAAAAAAAAATATTTTTTGGGGGCATAAATCCAATTTCGGTTTTAGATACATAGTAATAATGTAGGGTCATATGTTTTACGTCCAATTTAGCTTATATTTGCATTAAGATGTACAATCTATCATTTTCTTACCCAAGTACGTGTATCTATTTCTATTACTGTATTTGTTACTAAATTCGTACACTTTAAAACAAAACCCTTTCCTCACTAACTTTCCCGAAGTCGCCCACATCAGCTGTCTCTTCTCAGATTAATTCCACCTGTAAATTAATCTCCAACTATCCGTCGCTTCAAAATTAACCGAATCATCATCATAATACAATACTATTCTCTATAATAATAGGAGGTTTCAAATCACTATTTATGTTACAGATACTAAATTTGACACAAGCAGATACCAAGATCATTAATCAAAGATACAGTAATAATACGTAGCATATTTCTGATACTTCAATTGCCGGATCACTGTATGATTGAACAATAGATGCACATTTAACATAAATCTGTATTTACATATAGTAATTACTGGAACTGCGGAAAATGAAAAAATGGAGGTCTATGCTTATGCAGTCAGGGTGCACACATATCATCATAGTATACTGATATATAGGTTTAATTGCTGTTTATCTGTTGCTGAAATGTATCTTGGTGCAATTCGTTCTAATTGACGGAAAATATTAACAGAAATTTTCTTTCGGTGAAATCACAATCTTTAATAATTTGGTAAGATATGTTAAACTAATTGTTAAAAAAAATCCCTCCTTGATCATTTAATACAATATGGAGGAAATTTATATTAACTTTTTAGTAAGCAGATTGTCTCAAAAAAAATCTCTTAGCGAAATCATTAATTTGAATACTTGTGGAAAAATATGTGTAGCTGACATTGTGCGTTAAAGAGGTAATAATTATGGACCTGGTGAGACTCAAATCTTATCTTGAGCTGAACCAATGACTTATCATGTTCATTGATCGCATACCTGTATAACTATTATTCAACAACAATTCGTCATATGTTCCTGAAATTTTATATTAATAATTTGAGTCTAACGCTAGAATAAAAGAATCAAACTACTTTGATATATTATAATTTTTAGATAGCGTAATAAGTACATCCCTTTTGGACAAGCTATAAAGTGTGTGGGGTAGGGATGTTGTGTGTGTGTTTGGAATGATGATATAGGTCGCGGCATCATATTTAAATTAAGTACTCAGAGTGGTGAAGTGATCACCAACCTTTTTATTATTGAACTAGCAAGGATGGGCCATCACTCGTAATGACTCTCTCTTATTGTAATTCATTTAGGGCAAAATAAGCACAAACACAATGATTACTCTTTATTAGCATTCATTTAGCTAAAAAGACTGCCACCTATCATATCATTATTTCATTTCTACCCACCAACTTTGTCGTGTATGGTGTTTTCAGAAATATGTAGATCAACAGTCAAGGAGTGGATATCTCCACAATGTCAGCTCAATCATGTGATTTTTAGAGCGTCAATCTGCGAATGCACCAATGGGCACACGATACTATAAGCAATGATACGGATTACAAGTGGCCTGTTTGGCGAATAGCTTTTGATGCCACTAATCTCCCCTTACTAATAAATCTATATATATTAGTTATAATATATTATATAATATACTATAATATTATATATTAATATTAAAATTATCTAATTATTATA